GGAGAGACCCGAAGCCATTTCATCCTTTTCCCAAAATCGAGCAAGCCACTCTCTCTCCTTATCTCTCTTGGCCTCTCACTCTCTCGGTCTCCATCTCTCTCTCTCTTTCTCAGCCATTGTCTTGGCATCTCTCTCGGCCATCTTCTCTTTCTCAGTCTCTCTTTCTCTTTCTTTCTCGGCCACTCTCCCGGCTACACTCTCACCACCACACCATCACCAAACACCCTAGGATAGCCCGTGTAGTAAGTGGATTCCCTATACCTTTGTTAGGGCGTAGTGGTGCGCATTTGAGCTTGAGTGGTGACCGAGTTGTAATGCTTGATGTTTGCATTGTGTGCTTGATATTTTGCTTATGGCCGTGAGTCAAGGCATACCCGAGGCACAAAACGGGGCGTTGTATGGTCTCGTACTCATGTTGTGGTGTTACAGGATAAGCTTGGCTTGGTGTGGGTTTACATTGAGGCGGGTAGATCCGGGCCAAGTTCGGCTTCGAGCCGGCGCTCGGCATGGTGGATCAAGCCACAAACCCTAGACCGCGCTTGGCATGATAGGCATTTCGCCCATTAGAGCATGGTTCACACATGAACACCACATGATTGCATGGGCTAATCTTGTCAAGATAAGAACCAGATTGTTTGTTGCTTATTGTATGATCACACGAGGGACTATGGCCATTACTGATGGATTTCGGGACGTTGCCGCCACCGATAGATTTCGAGACGATACCGTCATCGATGGATTTCGAGGTGATGCCCGAGGGAGACTCGGATGCCCGGTGAAAACCGGAAGAACCGATGGATTTCAGTTGATGAATAATGAATCCCGTGTGTTGATCTTTGCATGCAACATGAAATACCATGCTTGATGTTCTCTTGGTTAGTGAGCATAACATGTTTAGCCACTAGGCAAGGTAAGGTGCATTTGCTATTGATCTACCATCGATAAGTCAACGGTAATGGTTGTTTCTCTTGTTCAATAGCGAGGCTATTTCTTAGCCAAGATATAGTGAATTTAACTTACTGAATTGTGTAACTCACTCTTTATATTTTCAGCTTTGTAGGTATGGCTCTACCACCTCCCGTTCGCTTCGGTCTTCCAGTTGAAATGCATGTCTGCATAGTAGACATAGTTGATGTTGAAATCGAAACTACCTACCGTAAGTGTAGTACTACCGTTTGGGTCCAAGAGAGTGCGGACGAGATGGTTCCCCACCGACATGAGGCATGGTTCGTTTTAATGGATGGAGATGTGATCGGGCCCCTTACGAGGTTTAGTGGACCACCCGGGGTCGCCGGAGACGGGCCGTAGTGAGAAGACCAAGCTCGGGAAAGAGCTAACCTTTTTGCTTTTGGTGAAGGGACAGTAGTGAAGCTAGGTTTACCCCAGCCATGCGGATAATATGTGAGCGGATAGCACGTAAAGAATTGGACATGATCTGGATGTAAATGAGTAGACGTGAAGGCCCGTAGTAAAAAGAGGGCTTGTAATATAATCGTCTATCATGTAAATTATGCGTGCTTGTATAGTATGCTTCTTAGCTCACGTTGTGTTCTCGTTATTGTTTGTTAGTTTCTTTCGCTTGTGCTTAATCGAAGAAAACAATAACGGGATGTTGAGACAAGATCCCCGGAACAAAGGCAAATCATGACCGGCTAAGGACCGAACATCACGGCCTTGGGTCGGGGCGTGACAATTCATCCACAAGAAGTCACTAAAATTCTACAATAGCGGCAACAAACATAATCACCCAATGGTCATGTTTTTGTGTCAATTGCTCACTGTCTATAATTTTGTCTATCAACTTCCTAAGTTTTGATGAAGACTCTCGTTAATAACTTTTAGGATGTTGTCGATGACTTCCTTAACGAGTTACCGATTTATTTCAAGTTATTCATTGTTCTGTTCATTGTTAACCAAATTGTACTTTCATTGACTCAGTGTGATACTTATCGATTGATTTATCAATCATTCAATTTTTTTTAAATGGATAATCAAAAGCTATCATATACCCCTTGTTATCGACAAATTTGATTTTTTCCTGCCAAATTGCTTCCTAAATTGTTATATTTAAATGTATAATTAACTGTGTTGTGACTTCATGAGTGGTGCCACTTGCAATATATTTTTTTTGTTTACTAAATCTTCTTTACTTAGAATAGCTTTGGCTTGAGTTAGTTGCATTAGGCCATCTTTCTAGAGCAAGTCGAAGATTTTATCCAACTTATTAAATTTGAACGAGTAAACTTGAGTGACTTTTGCCCTAACCATTATGGTGTCTTTTATTTTGGTAGGCTTTAAGGATCGACAAAAGTAAGGCTTGTCAAGCATTATTTTTACCATATTTATTTCAATTTTTTCATTCGAGTCACATTCATATCTTAACTCATAATCTTCCTTTAGAGCCACATTTGTGTAAAGTGTTTATGTGACCCTTTATCCATCTGTCTTTTAACAATAGCTCATACTTAGACATTCTCATTACCAATTGAAATAAATTGGCAAAGTCTTGGCCTTAAAATCTTTCTCACGGGTCAAATTTTAACCCATTGAAAGCCAAATTCATGAATTCTTTATTTGAGAGCGAAGTGAGAAATCTATTTTTGGTCTTCTTAAACCGAGCAATAAACTGATCGACCGACTCACTATTATATTGATAAAGTCTAACCAAATCAACAACTCAGGTATTATTCTACAAAATTGAGAATAGAAGTGTCTTCCCATCTCTGCCCATTTACACACCGAATTAGGTGGTATATTAGTGTACCAAGTGAAAGCAATTTTCAACAAAGACAAAGGAAATAGCCTAAATCTTAAAAACTCATATGTCCCTGCTTTCCCATAATGGGCTATAAATCAAACATGTTCGATGGTTGATTGCTCATTTTCACCAATAAAAATGACAAATTCATGCATCTTGAAACCTCTTGAAAAAGGTTGATCATTGACATAATGGGATGTGGTTTCTTGTAAATAGGTGAAATAAATCCCCTGTCCAACTCCAATGATTGTTTATCTTTTTCGGCAAATTGTGCAGGGTTCAAGTGTAGGTTTGGTTGGCCATCTTGCCCCTAAGCAGTGATGTTGGTCTTGTCGGATTATTTACGTTAATCGGCATGCTAGGGACAATGAGAATATTCACATTGAGTGGTACCAATGGAGCTACTGGCTTTATATTTTCAACATTTGGTAGTTGAACGGCCTGTCAACCAGTTTGATTTGCTATCGTTACCAATTTTGACCAACATTAGCCAAATTATTCCATTATTATAACCTTGAATAGAAGATTCAGACATTTGCATAATTCTTATAGGGGTTGGCTACTTTGAATGGCATTATTAGCATCAATAAATGGAGAGAGACTAGGAACCTTACGTTGAACGATCCTGGCCTCAAGAGGGCATCATTCACAATATTGATGACGATCGGTTTGATCACATCATAAATATGACCCACAATGTAGTTGGCCATATTACTATGCTGCTCTTCGAACATTCTTCTCATGGTCGCACCATGTTGGGATTTGGTACAACCTCCTTTAATTGCACATCAGCATCAAAATATTAACTTCCTCACATCGATTATCTTCTGCCACTTGCCTTACGACTGAAGTATCAGAATTCACGACCATCTCATTGCCAATTTGTGATAATGGGTTATTGTTGCCAGCAGCATTGCCGGACTATTGTTGATTTCTAGTTCTTGCCATTGTAGTCTTCTCGAATCAACAAAATGTGTTTCACTGAGAGTGCCAAAAGGATGTTACAATGAAAAGTCAATGAAATACTTTTTAGAAATATGGATGAATTGATATGAATAAAGTTTGTAAATGGTAAATTAAAAGCTACGGAGACTAGAGGCAGTCACGGCTAACCATGTAAATTGCAGGAAAGTAAAAAGTAATGATAAATTTGTGAAAACTTTAAGTCGTTGACTGACTAGGGAGACTTGGGGTATTTATAACCTTTTCAAATAGTTACGTATGACGGTCACATACAACGGTTACCGAATTTGAATAAAGAAATAACTTTTTAATCCTGTTGGTGGTTATAAGAAGTTACATGATTTCTTATTATCTAGGAACACTTATCCACAAGAAGTCACAAAAATTCTTCAATAGCAGCAATAAACATAACCACCCAGCGATTACATTTTATGTTGATTGTCTGTCGTCAATGACTTTACCGATCAACTTCCTAAATCTTGACGAAGGCTCTCGTTGATAGATTTGAGAATGTTGTCAATGACTTTCTTGGCGAGTTATTGTTTCCCTTCAAGTTAGTCGATTATTCTATTCATTCTTGACCAAGATTTGCTATCATCGACAAAGTCTGATACTTGTTGATAATGACAAAAAGTTAGTCGTTTTTAGTATCAACAATACTTAATTGTATTTGTATATTGGGCAAAAGTTCAATTGCTTCGTGTCATTACCTCTAATATCATTACGCTTAGCGCATCACATGGTATATTAATTTTTAGATCCGCTAATTTGTGCATCTATAATGATGTTACCATTGATATCCTTTCTAGTGCAACAAGATTATTAAGAGGATTTCATTCATGAGTGCGGGGGCACTAGATAAGCACCTTATTAGTGAAACTATGGAGATTTCGGTGCAATCACTTTCTTGTGTCACAATCACTTTATTGTGTCACGCGCAATTGCTATTTTGAAGGGTGGATCGATTCTCGTTGAATATGACTAGCAAGCGACTCTATAACACTCGTTAAAGGACCCTTCTCGATTATTTCCTTTAATGTCAGATTTCTTGAATGAAGGCCTACACAAGCCATGCGCTTCGACCCTCACTTCAAGGGCACCTCCATACTCGATCTGATCCCGACACTCAAGGCTAAAACTCCCAAAGCCGTAAGATCAGATATGGCAGTACCTTTCCAATCACAGTTTTCAAAAACACAGAGAGATCTTACATAGACTAGAAATGCAAATAAATCAATGTGACTCGAGCATCACAGATGGAAGAACAAACACCAGAACATGCTAAAAACGTATAGAAGCAGATGAATCGATAACTTGGACAGTGATTACATATGCATCAAGGGAGGAATATGCTTTCACAGACATGAGCGTGAGAAAGATGCATATACAGTCGTACACTTAACTCGGTTACTACATCTGATTAATAAAAGCATATATGCATTTCGATGCCAATAAGTTACTCGCTCCTCTGGCAAGGCCAAAGCACGCTCGGGCTCGGGCTCAGGTTCACGTAAAGCAGGTCGCGAGGCCAATTCGAGACTCGCCCTTGTTCATCTTCTTGGAGATGATGTCGTTCCAGATCTCGGCAAAAGCCCGGGAGATGACATCGTGGTGGACCGGGGAGTTGAGCTGCAAGAAGCAGTTGAGGAGCTCCCGGAGGTCGCTCTTCGAGTGGATCTCCTTCTCGAACACCATCTGCAGCATCGACAGCTTGAAGTCCTCGTACGGGTCCTCCGACTCCTTCGCCATCGCCACGCTGTTGGTTATCTTCCTGCACGGGCTCACCACATACATTGTGTCCGCCGCCGGCTTGTTGTCCTGATGATCGGCCCAGGGGAAATGGCGCGGGGGCGTCGTGGCGTGGAGGGAGAACCTGGTGGACTGGTAGTTGTTCTCGGGCACGAAGAAGCCCGGGAGTTCCCGACGGAAGACACGATCGGGGTGCGGGCGGGTGGCTTCAGAGGCGTTCGGCTTGGCACAGCTGCAGGCGAGTTTGGCTAGGAAGATGGGGAAGAAGAGCTTCTTCTTCTTCCTCCTCCTCTTGGAAGCCATTGATGACGAGACTGCGACTTGTTATCCGTCGAAATGGAACTTGTTGAACATTGGGGTTTATATCCGGAATGAAATTGTAGGTATACGGGAGGAGTTTGAAAGGGATTGAAATTCTTTAAGAGGTTGTTGATACCAGTCGTTGTCCGTGTTGTTGTTGAGTTGAGACATGGAAGAGGGATTGAAGGAAGAGAAGGGTGGAATCTTGGCGGCAAATATGGTCACGTAACTTCACCTGTGCAGTAAATTGTAAGAGAGTTCATGTCTAAGCGGTGTACATGTGACGTCTCGAGAAGCAAGAATTCTCAATGCTAAGAATTTCTATGATCGGGAATTGATAGTTCATCTTAGAATTGCATTACGTAAGCATGAAAAATTATAATCTTAAATGTTAGAATGCGCCCCGTGACCCAAATCTAACGGCAGAATACTTTTCTTGATGCGCGCTGTTCCCTACACAAGTGCTTTAAAGATTTAGTACTTCGGCTCATTTTCAAATTGTATCAGCTGATTATGCTCCAGAAGTTTTCGAACTGAAAAGAAACCAAGGATCTCGATTAGGTTTTCACACACTTGTTTATCTCGGTTTAGACGATCCTTATCTTCTCGATGAACCGAACAAACTAACCCTACGAATGCACCAATAGTAAACCGTCGGCCAAACACAGTCTCTCGAGATTTGGCCTCTTCACGAATCGTCCTGTTCGAATTGAACTCCAATTGATGGTCTAGATCGATGAACTCGACACACTTCGTTTCGGGATTGATACTTCATCTAGAGATGGGTAAGATTTGATTAGGGGTCGTCTAATCTCGTTCGCATTTCACTGTCTTGCTTGCCGTTGAGATTGCTATTTGAACGAGAGATTATAACTATGGACTGGATGTGGTTAGACATGAAGCAGTACTTGCATAAGATGACTTCCGAGCTATGCTTTATCTTTAATCGATGGTTACCCATTATAAAGTTTGGACCGTGACGCCTAACCCGAAGATCAAGCCAATGATAATTCAGTAACCACGCGTCACTAAATTAATTCCCAGCTATATATAATTTATCGAACTCGTGATTTTTATTAAATTTGGCATAAGATCAGCTGTGCCAACGTGCTCATACAACATAGAAAATGTAAAAATTATTTTCATTTTGCATGAAATTATTAGGGATAAGTGCTTTGGAAGTCCTAAAACTTGTTATGAAAGTGCAATCGAGTCCTAAAATTTTTAAAAAGTGTAATCAAGTCATAAAACTTGTCACAAAAATGCAATCGAATCCTAAAGCTTTCAAAAAGTGCAATCGAGTCCTAAAACTTGTCAAATTGAACCAATCGTTGATTGCACTTTTTAAAAGTTTTATATTATTGATTATACTTTCATAATAAGTTTTAGGATTTGATTACACTTTTTGAAAGTTTTAGGACTCAACTGCACTTTCATGATAAGTTTTAGGACTTCCACTGCACTTATCCCAAATTATTATGTGAAATGATCATTATTTTGCAAATTGGATATCTATCTAGGGTTTTGGCAATTATATTAATCAAATTGGGTGCGCACAAATGGAAAGATTCCTCCCACAGTCGTCTTGCCCTTGTGGAAAAGGCACTTGCTAACCGCCAATTAGGACGGGAAGTTGATTAATTTCTCTAATATTTTTCTTAATTGTGCTAAAATACGGTAATAATAGTTTAGTGAATGCCTGCGCAGGTGTGACTACGTTGTCGTCTTGATGTTCGATGTATCAACAGTAAATTGAGTCCTTTTTTGGGGAAATTTCTTTTCTCTTTTGCTAGGAAATTATCTCGCATGAAATTGCATTTTCAGCAAAATTTAGAGATGATATGAGTTTGCCGATCGTGAAAAACTTTGCCACGTGGGATTTTCCGACCTCAAAATGTCATCGATAACCCAAGTTTAGGGCTCGCTCAACCAAAATCAAAACCATTTGTTTGACCAAGATTAAAAACTCAATCGACTAATTGATGGAAATGTTAGGTCTTGTCCCTATAAAATAAGAAAAATAACTGTCAAAATTTAAACGTTATTCAAATTGTAAAAAATAATAGAAATTCTATATGCGAATTTACGTGTCCATAGTTGTATAATTTAGGGCGTTTGGGTTAAAAAGGTCAAATACGTCCGCTGCCAGCTCTACACATCCGATAAATAGAAAAATAGATGTTTACTAACATGGACCGAACAAACTATACTTTGTGTTAGTAATAATTGGGAAGAATGGAATCAGATTTTGAGATGTGAATGAACTGTCTTTAAAAATTATTTGCCCCACAATATTACTAATGGTTACTAGCAGAAATCCATATAATAAAGTCTAAAAATGAGAATACTCGACAGCAATTCTAGTATTTTTTCGAGAACTTTAGAAAGCAAACAATTGGATAATAAATGCTATATTCTAAGAAAGAAAAGAAAATTTGAAAAGTGAAAAGTAGTGAACGAGAAATGTTGAGTTTATATTAGTTATACCGTGAATAGGCATACTATTTCAAAATGATTCAACTTTTCATGTTTTCAAAACGACAAATTCGAATTTTAAAAAAATGTCCGTTGATCAGTGCCAATCCTAGTCCACAAGTGTACAAAGTGCTAATGCGCCTATGTAGGGCCTGTTTGGTTCAGCATTCAAATGCTGCTTTGGAGCTCTAAAGGCCCTTGGGCAAATGCAAACTTGTTTGGCAATTTTTTTTGCAAGCTTTGAGGAGATGCAATTGCATCTCCAAAGCTTCCTAAGGGCCTTTGGCTAAATGGAGGGTTGAAGGAGCATTGGGGAAGTAGCATTTTCGGAATGCAAGTGGCACTGTTCATTCCGCTACTGTTCATCGCGCCCAAGGAGCCACACCGGAGGCCGCCTGAGGGGTCCGGCGACCGCCGCCTGGGGGTCGGCCGACCTCCGGCGACCACCGCCTGGGGGTCGCCCGACCCCGGCGACCGCCGCCTGGGGTCGCCCGACCTCAGGCGGCGCTCGGGTCGCGCGACCCAGATCGTCGCCGGACAGTCGCCGGCGGTGCTGGTTCAGGCCAAAAAAAATTTTTAAAAAAATATTAGCAAAAGTCCTTTACAAAATTAAGATTTTACCAAACGGTATTTAGACCAAAGTTGTTTTCAAATGTGATTTTAAAAGACACGTTACCAAACACTACTTGCATTTCGAAAAACCCCTTTAGCTCAAAGGTATTTGCATTTTGCCAAATGCATTCCCCCAAAGCCGAACCAAACAGGCCCGTAGTGTCTAGAAGACTTAGCCATGATCTTCAATAAGGTTGGAAGCCTTCTACTTATATATCAATCCACAAACTCATATCTTTTCATTGTGGGAGAAAGTACTTCTTTCATTTGTTTTACAAGCAAACTATCAACACTTGGTTTTTCATCTAAATCATGTACCACCTACATTTCTTTCTCTGCGATATTGTATCAACGGCACTTTTTGAGATTTAGATCTCATCGATAGTTAATTTATTAGATTCCCATAGAAAAAAATGAACGATTTGTCTTCTATTCAAAAAAACTATCCTCGTCACATCGAAAGCAACAAAATCATTCGAAATCAGACTCATAATAAAATTATTTCGTGTAGACGAACTTATCGTTTATAATAAAAACTATCAAAGGACCGGGGGAGGGGGGGGGACTTATATACTTATCAACACTCTCGCCTATACACCTTATATCCGTGTAAGTGGAAAAAAAATACGTACAAACTCAAAATTCAAGAAGATTTGTTCACTTCAATTGCAATTTCAAATTGCATAAGTGCGAGACCCCTTTAAAATCTGCCTATATGACATCACGTCTCCTATAAAATCTCCAAAATCTAAAGCTTGAACTTTAAAAAATAAAAAAATAAAAGTATTTGCACTCGGTAAAAAGATCAAAACCATGATCGAATTACCAAATTGCCCCTCAGTTTTAGCCCCGGGAAGGCAGTGTCGGATCCCATTATGTACAAAACGGCTGAAGCCTCAAAGGCGTTTTCCGGCACTCAGCACGTCACGAACGGAAGAGGAAGCCCCGCACGGAGACGCGTCTTCCTCGTCCTCGGCCGCCTGAACCGCTCCGATCAGCCGCTCAATGGCCCGGCTTATTGCCGCCACCACGCGCCTGTTGAGGAACTGGAGGCAAGCGACGGCCGGGGCCCTGGGGAGCAGCGCCTTCGACCGGAACCTCCTCCGGGGTTCCGGGATCGGGAGCAGCGCGCCCCGCTGGCGGAGGTACGTGCAGAACGGGCACGTGCAAGGGAACTTGAGCAGGTCGTGCAGCGAGGTGTACTCATGGGGTTGCGACGGTGCCTTGTTCTTTGGTCTCCTTCTCGCGGTTAAGCTCTCCGGCGGCTGAGACGACGCGGGCTGGTGGTCGGATGAGACGGCGTCGCTCTTGCTGCTGCTCGGGGACGAGGGACCCGTCGCCATTGCTGTGCTGCTACTGAAGAAGGCAGAATCGTGGACTCGAACTCTTGATGCAAACGTGAAGATAAAAGGGCGGGAGACAGGTTTTTATAATGAATATGATGACCATGGAAATCAGAAAATCCATAGGATAAAGGAATTTGCAGATAGATTCTGATGGATTCTCTCATCGAATCAAACACTCTTCTTTTCTTTCATTAATTTGAATTCTTTGTTTTCATGTTTTGTTTGGATTTTGGATTTGGATGATCGGGTGGCTTGGTTTTCCTTGTTCCTACTAGAATTAGGTTGTCGAATTTCGATGGTACTTCTAATTTTTCGAAAGTTTAATTTTTACAAGGAGTAGGACTGTCATGTAGATATAATCTGGAAAAAAATTTGTAGCGGAAAAATCTACTAGTCTTGGGAAGTCTCAGGCAAATCACATGTACACCCATACCCATTAGTACTTCATAACGAGTGTCCTATCCTATATACATTAGAATTAGATACAGTGGGCCTAAATTACGAATTAATTATTAGGTAAGTGCCCTTAGATATATTAAACCGAACATGGATCATCACATTTAGCGGGGCTATTGCAGGACTCACCATTTGCCAAAAAGCGTTTAATTATGCTTTACGAAAAGCACTTAGGCAATGTTTATCAAGATAGTGTAGAGAACGCCATAG